GTACGGTGCAAATGCTATTCCTGTGAATGCTTGCTGTATGATATTGCCTGTCATCAACGGGCTGTGACGGAGTGATGGGGCTGGCCTGCTTTAGCTCATCCAAGTCGATACCTTGACATAGTGAGCAACCTTCATCTTTTTTTTTTTCCCAAGACCCGTTTGCACTGAGCAACGCAAACGGCAGCCATGTCGCGTTTCAATCCCTATGCCCAGAATGGCGGGTGAGTCGAACAGAAAGGAGCTCGTATCATCAATTTGACGAGCAACCTCTTTACTAACCGTGTTGTTGTATCTGTCTGTAACCACCTCTGACGCTGCTTGTCTGTCTGGCTTCGCAACAGCACCGTCCTGGGTGTGGCTGGCGAAGACTTTGCCCTCGTCGCTTCGGATACGCGTTTGTCCGAGGGCTATGAGATTCACTCTCGCAAGAGCCCCAAGACCTACCAGCTGTACGTCCCGTCTCTCATCCGCTTCAGCCATGCCCGTTTTTGCTGCTATTTTGCACGACCCGCGCATTTTTAGGCGTTGCGTCTTTGTGTTTAGCCACGACGTGATCAACTCACTGAGCGCCCCCCTCCCTCCAAAAACAACACAACAAACGAACAAACTTGCTTCTCTCATAGCTCCGAGTTTACCGTGCTTGGTTCGACTGGGTTTCACGGTGACGTCCTGACCCTCGTCAAGCGTCTTCAGCATCAGCACGTCTCTTACCGCCACCAGCACCACAAATCGCTCAGCACCCCGGCCTGCGCTCAGCTTTTGGCCACCATGCTCTACCGCAAGCGCTTCTTTCCCTATTACACCAACAACATCTTGGCCGGCCTCGATGCCGAAGGTTGGTTGGGCACTCAGGCCTTCTTCCGTCATTTGATAGGTGGCATTGGCTTGCTTTCTCACTGCTCTATTTTCACCCTTCTCCTCTCCTTTACGGCCGTACGCATTGCTTGATAGGCAAGGGCTGTGTCTACAGCTATGATCCCGTCGGTTCATATGAGCGCGAGGTGTTCCGTGCTGCTGGCACTGCTTCGTCCCTTCTGCAGCCCCTCCTCGACAACCAGGTATGTCCTCTACCCTGGGTACCGTCGTCGACAACGCAAAAGCTTGGCAACAGTTTTGTTGGTGCGCTTGATGCTCACGCACTACGCCGACGTGGGTCACAGATTGGTGGCAAAAACTTGGCCAACCAAGATGGACCTCTGCCTTTGGACAAGGAACGCGCTGTGCGCTTGGTCAAGGACATTTTCGTGGCCGCAGCAGAGCGTGACATTTACACTGGTGATGCCGTGCACATCGCCATCATCACCAAGGATGGTGTGACCCACGAGGAAATGCCCCTCCGAAGGGATTGAGCTGGCTGCTCGCTAAGCGGGCCGCATTGTCCCTTTGCGCTTGTGTCAGTTTGCAGCAGACTTGTCGCAGGCCGTGCATTCTCAAAATGGAGCCATTGTCGTGAGCGAAACCCCAACAGGGTGTTGTAATGTCGCACTCTTTTCTCCCTCCTGTTTCGTCACTCGTCCTTGTTTGTTGCGCTGTGTGTTTCCCCGTCTTGTTGTTGGTGGTGTTAGTGTCGTTGTGCGTTGCCAATTTGAACCCCTTACAGTGCCTGTCTCTTCAGTCCCACTCCCGTCACGACAGTCGTGTGTATGTGCGTGATGCTGTCTCACGACAGCGACGGCTCGGCTCGTGGTTTGCTCTGTTCAAATTTTTGGATATAAACTCGATGTTGCCCTGAACGCAGTTGTTGGGACAAGCAGGGTGGCGGTCTGGCGTGCTGGGTCCACAAGGCGCTCGTTGCGGTAGCCCGCTACCGCTCAGCTTGGTGAGCGGCAAGCTCGCGCACGCGTTGAAAGGTGGCAATCATGTCTGACAACTGCAGCGACTCGGTCGCGCCATCGGCCAGGCGGTGCCTATCGGGTTTGAGGTGCGCAGCACAGCGTGGGATGAGACCTTGAGGGACGCAAAATGGCAAGACAGCTTTTGCTCACACGTACTCGATATCAGCAAAGCGCTCGAGCAACAAAATCTTGCAATCGGTGGGGAAATCAATGCTGTCAGCGGCGCAAGACAGGGCGCCATCGATGAGTTTGGAAACGGTTTGCAGTTGTTGTGTTTTACTTGTTGTCTTCTTGTATTCTTCTCACGACATTCCTTTGGCATGGTGTTCAAAAGCCCGCCGTGCAATGGCCAGGGTCTCGTACTTGTGCATGAAACGGTGAACCTCTTTGAGGATGTCTTGCAGGGCAAGGCCTTGCTCTGTCTTGACCTCTGATATCACTGCAGACAAGACGATATTTGAGACTTGGAATCAAAAGAATAACATGCGTTCAGTTTACGGACAAAGCGAAATGGGACCGAACACGTACGTTTGTATGCTTCGGCAACGGGCTTTTCCAGCATCCACGACACGATGGACTGAATATCGTCGGGCTGTGGTGTGGCCGTGCACGTGTACACGGCACGCGCATCAATGTCGCCAAACGCCAAGGCTGTACTCTGTGGGGGTGGTTCAATTTTGGTCGTGTCAGCAAGTGCGGCGAGGGACGAGGTACGGTGGCAAAAAGGTCTCCGAATACACTTACCTGAAGGATATTGAGGGCTTTGCGCATGTCGCCATCGGCGAGGCGGGTCAGAGCATCAATGCCTTCGGGCGTGACTGTCAGGCTGCGCGGCCGGCATGGACGAGAGGTGAGGGACTGCAGCTGGATTGTCAAAAAAAAAAAAGTTTGTGCGTCCCCAATGCTTCCAACAAACTTTTCGGCTTTGATGACGCGCTGGACTTGACTCTTCAGCTCATCCTCTGACAGGGGTGCGAAACGAAAGCGGGTGCAGCGCGACTGCACGGCTGGACTGATTTTGGAGACGTAGTTGCAGATCAGGCAGAAACGTGTGTGCTTTGTGTATTGTTCAATCACTGCCAAAAAACGGGTTTGTAAGGTGAAAGCGGGGCGACAAGGCGCAGCCCAGGAGGATGCCATGCCTGACCTCGACGCAGAGCAGCTTGGGCCTCATTGGACATGGCATCGGCCTCGTCCAGAATCACCAGCTTGAAGCCAGATCTGCGCCATTGTCACGTAGCGTGCGATGAGCTTCGTCAGGAGGGGCTGGGTCAGGCCAGGCGGCTGCAAAGTACGAGAAGCATACTTGA